ACATTACAAGAACATCATGGGAACATTACAAGAACATCATGGGAACATCACAAGAACATCATGGGAACATCACAAGAACATCATGGGAACATCACAAGAACATGAGGGTAATGACCGATTCTTTGCAATATCGTCAAAGCTACGACCACACATGTACCAATGCACACAGCTGGATCGCGGCACATGAGAAATAAAGGTAGAAAGCATTGTGATGGCTGCCACTAGTTTCACTTCTTTTAACTGAATTGAATTGAACCAAATTTCAACTAGTGGTAGCTTAGCATGACCCATCCTCTAATAAGAGGCTGGAATAGATGGCAGCACTGGTAAGTCTCATGCTCACTGACCAGGATTAACAGCAACACTCGTCATAAGTAATATCAGGAGTAAGATAATATAGGTTATAGATTAATTAATATAATTAGGTTATAGATAATTAAGATAATATAGATTATAGTAAGATAATATATCCTATATTATCTTACTCCTGGTAATATTAGTACAGAGACTACCCGACTTACGAACAGGTTCCGAGCGGTCGTTCTTAAGTCGATTTGTTCTTAAGTCGAACATATGGTACGTACATATACAGTATTGTATAGTAGTGTAGTATATGTACGTATGAACATTGAGTAACCTAGAAGTGTAGATAGTGTAAACATATACGTGAACACAGGAGTTGGCGAAAGTCAAAATCAGGGAGTCGATTGTGTCTTTTTTATTCACCAATATTGACATTATACACTAATGGACTTCAGGGCAAATTGTTCGTATCATCAAAAGTTCGTAACTCGAATGTTCGTAAGTCGGGGAGTCTCTGTAATGACATATTGCTTCTGAAGCGCAACTTATAACATAGAATGCAACTCTTACCAATAAATACACGTCCTGGCTGATCCGGTGCAGTCACATCCTCAGATTTCACCTGGCGGGTGATAAAGAACACGTTTAAACTACAAACACAAGTAACGACGTGAACTGCTGATTGACAAAAATGCTGAAAGTGAATGAAGAAATCAGGCCTGTATTTACCACTGTTCCATCTGTGAGTACAACATCTTGTCCCTGTTTCAACTGGCCAAGTAGAGGACCTCTGTGGATAGAAAATGTAACTATTCTTACACACTTCATAGTATAAAGCTGCATTAAAATAGACACGAGCAGTCCCTGGTTTATGTTCCTGAAATCTTCATGTAAATTAATATTTATGTAACTGTGTAGCAGGTCGTGTAACCCAAGGATGGATTCACGTTTTTTCAAAAGCTTAATTATATACTGCAATTATGCACACATAAGCAGTGTACCAATAGACTGAATTTTATAATTCATACACTATATATATGTGCTCAAAAAACGTTGGAAATCTCAATGGAAAATAAAGCAAAACAAACTAAAAATAATAAAACAAACTCACGGTGGAATCTTGTACTTTACACATTTCTCAAAGTCAAGTTGACCAGGCCTCACATGTGGCTGCAACGTATAACATCATTGAAATAATGAATAAATATAAATATTTAAATACTTATTGTTATGATGACAATGTTAGTTTATGTATTCTCTCTGATAAACAGTATGGTATAAAGAGATTTAGCCACATATTAGCTTGAAGAAGGATTACATATAAGTGCATACCAAACTAACCAACTTTACTAGGATGCACAGATACCACAAGACTTAAACATTGGTAAAGTAAAGAATAAAAACATGTGAAACACTTAAATTGTTTGTCGAATTCTGCCTACCTTGCAAACAAACGCAACAGCCACTTCCCTGTCTGGTTCCGGCTCCAGTTGAAAATTTTGCTTGGTCGCTATAAAAGTTGTACCACAAATAAATAAACAAGTGCCGCAGTGCGACAGGGCTCATCTGGTTCTGGTGTTCTGCTGATAAATTCATTTGTGCATAGCAAGACGTCTTATACATAAGTCTTCTTTATTCTTGTTTTGACTTTCGTAGCCAATTGGAACAAATATATCAGCTACACTTTCGCACCCACCTAATCTCTATGCATTGCAGACACATGTGCATTGCAGGTTGGCGGGCAACAATTATGATTAGAAGCGTTCCAGCCATGGGCTGCCCCGTGTTTTGCCTACCCACACGAGCATTCACTGATTCAGCCTTCAGGGTGCTATAGACAGACTGCTTTAGAAAATAATATGATTTAAGGAGCGTAAACCTTGTTCAACAAACATTTGCCTTTGCAATTAAACTGCAACTGTAGCCTCACATTCACACAGGTATGGGCTCTAATAATAGCAAAAGCAGTTCAGTCCTTTGTTAACAGTCAACAAATCAATGTTTAACCCTCCTCTTGAGGGTTAAAAGGTTATCCGACACTTACTCTTCGCATGTCAGCGGAAAGTACATTTTACAGTCCTTTCAATAAAGCCATAAAAATAGTAGGTCACCGCTGAAACAAAAATGTTTTTCAATCGCTCCGTCAGACCATGTCCTCAGAAAATGTCTAAAATCTGCCCTCTGCCCCATTGACCTTTGACCTGTGACCTCCAATTTCGGCACAGTGATGACTTTTCCTACCATGATGCTATACACCGACTATCACGAGCCTAGGTCGAGCCATTTAGATTTGTGCCGCAATTCTGCATTTCCTCCCTATACCTTAAGTTAAGGAGGGAATGTTCCCCCTTCTTTTACACCTCTTGACCTTTGACCTTTGACCCCCAGCTTCAACATCCCAACTCTTTTTTTGATTACAACCCCCGGCTCAAATATCGTGATCGTACGTCGAGCGGTTAAGATTTGTGCCCAACTGTTGACGGACGGACGGACGGACAATCATGCAATTCTACAAGCTGCACCTGACTACGTCAGATGAGCTAAAAAGCAGAAAGACACATTTTCTCATATTATCCAATCACATTGACTCGATAATAGTGCCCTACAATTGTACATCAATAAGAGAAGAGTGTGAGTGAGGAGTAAACATACTTTGTGTGTCCTCCGTGTTCTTTGGCAGGTTTCCTTTCGCTACGTATTTATTCTGGTACGCATAATAGTCTTCAGATGGCGCTGCCTCTGCCTCGTTGTCACTGTCAGAGGGCGCCGGCATATTGCGGAACGCTCCAAATATGGGCACGTAGTTGACAGTCATCATGTTGTCAGTAAACGGTTCATCTGTGTAGGTTCTCTTCTCTACGAACGTTCAAAGTTTGATTAAGAGAAACACCAGCTCAAGACATTGATCACCGCAAAAAAGTGTTATTCCAATATGTATGGCTTACATGTCTTGTCATTGTTTTGCATCAGTCAGGCATTGAAAGTTTCACATCCATCACTACAAGTACAGAATTACAAGCTGAGTAATATGTACCAATATTCATATCCTTGGTCATCATGAAACCTTTGGTCATTATGAATAGCTTCTGAAGTCCGGGCGGACCGTGAATAACAATCTTAGGCACCCCTATGTCACGCAAGGTTAGAGCCATACCTGAAGCGATGAGGAAATCACATTATGCATATTTTCATTGAGAGAGAAGATCAATTATTTACAGCATTATCTATTTTTGTTCACAGACGAAATGCATCTATTAGCATATATATCATATATCATATCCTGATCATATGTGTAGTGTTGTCTTGTAGCATCAAGGTGCGTCTTTACCGGGTAATCCTCCAATGTTTTCCCAACACCTGTATGTACAGAACAGGTGTTCTAGCCTTGACAACTTCACTCTGAAATCACACGAGGTAAACTTTACATATGGCAAATATAATAGCCTATCTCTCTATCCATATATAATATGGTATATATATATAAATATTATAAATGCCTATAGGCATATTAACTAAGTAATAGAAGACTGCTCACATAATAGTTTTCTGACATCATATATATAAACATGACATGCACATAACAATGTGGCAGAAAGAAGCATTCACACTGTCACTATAGTTCGATCTGTTCTTGCATGACAGATAAATTAATTTGCATTCAGTGGAGTGGACAAACCTGTGCTCTGTTGCTAATCGCTGTGTGCCTTCTCCACAGTTGAACATGTACCTAACAATAAAAATAATGCTTATTTTACAATATTATATTGCTATTGGTTTTATCTCTGTCATCATGCAGCTCTCAGACTGGCTCAGTGGCTGATAAATTGCAGGTTTTCTATGAACCAAGTTACGTTTTGTTTTGGTTGTTCTGAACTGAAAGGGAAATTACATAATTAGCACTGACAGACAAGTATATACCTGGTACATGCCTAGTTACGCTCATAGGGTCTATGTCCCCCAGGGTACTGCCGGAACGTACCCTGGGTACGGTCCGGTATACCAGAACGTACCCTGGTCACTATCTGATATGGTTAGGGTTAGGATTAGGGTTAGGGTTAGGTTTAGGGTTCGGGTTCGGGTTCGGGTTAGGATTAGGGAGTAGCCGTAGGTGACTCCCTAGACTCGTTAGTGGAGTAGGCTAGGTACGGTCCGGCATATAATATAGTACCAGGGTACGTTCCGGTATACCGGACCGTACCCAGGGTACGTTCCGGCAGTACCCTGGGGGACATAGACCCTATCAGCCCTATAGTTACAGTTTAGGAGTCTTCACTTAATTGCCATCATTTATTTGCCGAGTATCACATACAATGAATAGTTATACTTATAAGTTATAGTCAACAATCCATGATATGCATGAATCTACTTAACCCAACCAGGTGATGTACTATGATGTAGATCACCATGTAGATATATACTTATTGTAACTATTAGTATTACTAAGTAGTAATAGTATTAGTATTAAAATACTATTATTACTATTAGTATTACCTACCTGTTAAAGTCGCTAAATAAAAAAATTGACTTAGGGCATCCTCGTGATCCATTGCCAAGAACTTGCATGTAAATTTCTCCTGGAGGAGGAATCTTGCTTGTAAGCCTTTGCTTATATTTGATGTGTTTTAGGGTGACGTTCGTCTCCTTATCCATGGTGTACAATAGATCATTCAAGATTTTATTTTTTTCGTAAAATAAAAGTTTACTAGTTGAAAATGTACGAACTCCTACACTAAGTACTTGAAGAAAGGAACACGATTTAACGTAAACCATGACATATTAGTAATTTGACAGAAATCCTTTACAATACTTTTGCGAACAACGATTGCATGTAATGTGGTAAGTTCAGATGTAATCAACGCGTGGGGGCTGACATCTTTGACGTTCTTGTGTTGATCCTGCTAGCGCCAAATACATTCCAATAAAATAATTTTCTATTGGGGCACGACTGTTCGGAGCACGAACATGAGTGAAAACATTTTTGTAAAAGTTTCTTCGAACGATAAAAAGTTCGTTCGAACGAAAAATGTCCATCAAAATGTAACATTACGCAAAACAGAGTAACCCTGATAATTTCATTTTCAGCCTGAGATATATAATATACAGTAATTCAAGCATACGTCCGCGCGAGAGAGATACCAATCCTCTCTCACCTTTCTCTCTCTCTTTCTCTCTCTCTCTCTCTCTCTCTCTCTCTCTCTCTCTCTCTCTCTCTCTCTCTCTCTCTCTCTC